ACAGAGTGAATTGCTGAGCAGTATACATGCCGTTTGGTCGATAGCCGGTCAGATATCACGTCTACGCCAGAGAGATGGAGTAAACTGCCATAATAAATAAGTCAAGCCTGTTAAGTGGCTTTATTGCATATCCTCAATAATTGTAGCATCGTAGTCCGTCGCTATGGTGATTTAATGACAAGTTATATACATATATTTTTTGTGCACTTTTTTAAATGAAATTTTGAATCAGAATTCTTTTTAATGGCATACGTATCATCGGTGACATTTATATTCTTGTACAACGTTACATTTGTAGCACTTTTATCAGAAAATCTTGCTTGATACTGATATCTGGCGCAATATAATGGGTAGTGGTTTAAACGACGAAGGTATTTTTAAATTTTCATGAAATCATGCGAGTATGTTTGGCCTATTCATCGATAATATAAAATTGTTTTCTATTTATTTCAAAATGAAGATGGCGTTTAGTGTTGAATTTCACTAGACACCAGTTTCTTTTATTATTTTAGTTGCGCTAACTACATAATCGCTGACACATCAGAGACTTCAGCTCATTGAACTAATTTCAATCTGTAGGAGTGTAACTTCTCACGGTCGATTTCTTAAGCTCATTAGCTATTGATAAATAAGAATATTTCTCTGTTTTATTTCCAGTCTTTGTTAAGTACTGTATTAAGGAAAAAAGAGAAAAGTTCTACCACCACATACAACTTCATTCCCTGGTTTCCCTATCCCTAATTAAACAAGCAATCTAGATAACAAATGATGAAGGCAAATCAGAAAAGATTATGTGAAGGGTAGGACAAGTATTAAGAAAAATTATGCTACTGTCTGATGAATTAATAAATAAACTATTAAAAACAGAAACATAAAAGTATCAGTGATTACACCATCTAAACTGAGTACTCTTCAACTGATGACATCCTGAAAACATTGTCAATTTGAAATTAATAAGACATGTGCTTTAAAAGATATGCTTTTAAACTGTGACACAACATGAAACCATGAGTCCATAAACTGAACAGAACAAGTGACTTGCACCCCTTGGGCTTTACTTGTGTATCTCCAGCTAATGAAATGTTGATGTTGCAAAAACTACACGTAAACAAATCCATCTATTGTAAATCAACCTTTAAGAAATAACAATGAAATTTATTATCAATAATGCTGTCTAAATTCACATTCAGAGTTTAACAATGCTCTAAACAACAGTTTCTTGAAATAGAGTGCTGATATGGTTAATTAGTTTGACCACTCAACTTCCAACTAATTGCATATGGGTACATATCCCGGCCTCACCTACTTTAGTCTGGGGCCAAGTGAGTATTTTCATCAACTCGAGGACAATAAGTGTGGTTCATAGCCTGGAACATGAGAAATCTGTTTCAGAGCACTGAGTTCTACGAAAAAGAACAAGACCAACTGAAAATTGTATTTAGATAGATAGATAAAGATAGATAAGATAAGCTTTATTCCAAATCAGTACTTGTGATACAGAATGGAATTCTCAGCATTTTACTACAATATTGCATCCAGTTAGTACATCATCTGACAACCTACTCAATCTAAGATGCATGTTAAAAGATACCAACTGGGATCTATTCTATGAAAGTACATTAGATGACTCAATCACCAATATAATGGATTATCTCAAGTTCTGCCTCGACATATGCTGTCCCAAACAAACACTGTTCAAACGCCTCGACCGCTTCTCGTCTCCCCATCTCAAACAACTTCGCAGGCAAAAAGAAATGTTATATAAATGCAAAGACAAGTTAGGACTTAAAAAGATTAATGCTCAAATCAAATCTGAAATCAAAAATCTTAATGCTATCTATAACCAAACACTTTTATCATGCAAATCTCCTATCAGCATGTGGAAATTTTTCAATGAAATTACTGGCAATAGTAAGCGATGTAATGTTTTTCCCTCTTGTGATGTTAATGCTCTTAATCTGTCTTTTATACGCTCTCCTTCTACTATAACCACTTCTAACGTTACTAATCTTGTAGCTGATAACTTCCAGGACTTCAATACTCTCGATGTTTTGAAATGTCTTAAAACTCTTAAGCCCTCACATAGTCTTGGCCCTGATGGCATACCTGCATATGTTCTAAAACAATGTGCAGATGCTTTATGTTCTCCTCTAACTAATATCCTAAATGCTTCTTTCTCCGAAAACGTTGTACCTGTTCCATGGAAAGACATTAAAATAGTCCCTGTCCCTAAACCTGGAAATAGCAAGAACGTAAAGTTCAGACCCATTGCCATCACTTCCCCGTTTCTAAAGCTCATGGAAAAACTAGTACTTCTTAAACTCGAACCCTCCCTTAAAAGCTTCGAAGACCCCAAACAATTTGCCTACAGACAGGGTAGGAGTACTTTAGACGCTGCAGCCGTCTTACACAACAGTATTGTCTCATCATTAGACAAAGGTGCCAAATATGTCCGCTGCACGTTTCTTGACTTCACTTCTGCTTTCGACTCTGTACCTAGATGTCTCTTGCTAAATAAGCTCTCCATGACACAAACCGAGTCCTGGGTCACTAACTGGTTGCATTCCTACTTTTCAAACAGAATGCAGTACACCGTATACAAAGGCGAATCCTCCTCTGCTGTGCTCACTGAAGCTGGTGTCCCCCAAGGTGCTGTACTCTCCCCACTTCTCTTTTCTTTCTTCCTACATGACCTACCATCTTCAAATGACATTAACTTTGTCAAATATGCTGATGACCTAACTGTATCTTTACCTGTCAAATGTCAAAGTGACTGCTCTAAACTAAATGGCTTCTTATCAGAAATCAGCCAATGGTCCAAGGAAAACGGTCTCACCTTAAACCCCTCCAAATGCCAAACAGTTAATTTCACCTTTAGGCACAAATCTGACCTAAACAAACTGGTTAGCACTCACGAGGTGTGCAACATAGATGGCACTGAAATAGAAACCAAGTCGGAAATTAAATACCTAGGCGTCACTCTATCTTCTGATCTTTCCTGGTCGTCTCATATCTTGACGATTTCCAAGAAAATATTCCGTCTTACCTTCTACATCAAGAAGTTAAGACATTCTGGTGTAACCCAACCCTTACTCCTACAATTTGTTAACTCCCGTATTCTGCCTATTATTCTCTATTGTTCCCCCTTAGTCTTTCCTGGGCTATTGAAGAAAGACTATACCTTATTACGTAGGATGTTAAAGGTTGTCAGCAGGGTAAGCAGTTTGCCACTTAGCCAGCTTGTTAATATTCTGGTGGACAGGCACATGGACTCATGTGAAAAATGGGCGAAATCCATTTTATCTGACTCACAACACCCTCTACATTCACAACTCTCCCCATGTATCTCTTCAGGGAAAACCAGAAGCCTATATAGGAAACTATATGCCCGCACTAGTAAGTACAAAAACTCATCCATACCCTACCTAGCTCGTGTTCTGTGCGATAAAGAAAGCATTAGGCGTGAAACCTTTAACTTATTAAATAGTCAGTAGAACAATGGATCTCGTCTTTCCAACTCACATCATTTACAGGTACAACGTTTTCTCTCTACTTTTTTTCATTCTGTATTTATTTTTGTTATGTGCTGTTTTGTTTCTCTCTTCCTTACAAACTCTACTTAAAACATTCTTGTTCGTTCTTTCACACTCTGTATATCTCGACCATTTTGCTATCGCTTACGCCAGTAAATATGCTAGTAGTATCTACTTTTCTAACACCTTCAAACACTTGTTTAAATTTTGGCTTTGCTACCGACATGCTAATATGTTGTTGTCAAAACTGACTGAGAATTAAGTAAATAATAAGTTAAACTAGAAATAGTATATTTGGTGGATGGTGACTGGCAGTGGAATCTAGTAAAAAGTGAATTTTTTTTCCGACATGGGACCCTTCATCTGGATGTACCTGCATTCCTCAGTGAGTAATAGTGTTCCCAATGAGGCCAGAACCGAGTACTCATCGTTTTCAAACGTCAAAGCGTTATCCACTAGAGTAAATTACTTCAAGTTAAGTGCTCAGACATCGTCGAAGCATCCACACAGGGAGCCGACATGTCAGCAGAAGCCGAACACTTCTGTCCAATAATCAGTCAACGAGAAAGTTCAAATTGAATTAAACAGAAGTAGAGTACATCAAAATTCAACAAAAACAAGTGAATAAAAAGTGCAGCGGGGGGAGGGCCTTGGGTACTGGGAACGAAGATTTCAAAGTTAGCTGAAAAGTTATAACGAAACTGCAACTTGTACTATCCAGTTTATTAATCTTCATGCAGTTTGAAGGATTTAGTGAAGACCTGTGGAAGTTAATTTGTTCAACTTTTCAACCAACATAAACCTAAAGCAAACAACTCCTAAGGTTAGGCATACGTACTTGACTGAGTGTTCAAAAAATGACAGTGAAATCAAGCTATAACGACTAAACGAAAAAACATACCTAGATAAACCGCCCTTTGGAGGTGAAGAATCTCGGCGTTTGTTTACGTATATAGAATGTAAAGCATCCTAGACAAGTTGATAACAATGATTTTAAATAATCTAAAAAACCTTCCGGTGTACTCATTTGCAATATACCTTTGTGGAAAGTTATATTAGACAATAATAACTTAGGTTCAAATGCATCGGTGGCAAAGCGGTGGAATGCTCACCAACCACGCCTCATGTAGTTCGGGGTTCGATCCCCAGCCAACGCATACCTCTACCTCGCTAAGCCAGTAATAAGACTGATAGAGAGGAAAGGTTGGGTATGAGGCTAGCAACTCCATCCCGTACAAATAAACACCACTGCTACCGAAACTCCAAAGCTCTAGTTTGAAGCCCTATCTTCCACTTGGAACGTAAAGGAATAAAGTGAATAACAAATAATAATAACTAAGGTTCAAAACAACTGAACATAGGTTATACCTCAGAGGCCAACAAGTTTGAATTACAATTGTAGATTAGGAATAACCACAGGCATTTTCACCCATAAACATATAAAATAATAATAATAAAAATAATTACCGATTCAATAGTAGTGATGATCTTCTACGTACTGCCTCAAAAATACTGCCTCTACTGCCAGATATAGAAGAGACTGATTGACGTTGTTTTTGTAAATCAGGTTGTGATAACAATACTTGATCTTGACCAGGATTCGCTGGATCACTTGAAGCAGAAAAATACATAAATGGAGGCAGAGAGAGAGAGAGGAAAAGAGAAAATAATGAAGACAGTTAATTTTGTTCAATGAATAGAGACTGTATATCAAACATTTTACAACAAACTAATTTGTGTACAGTGCATTAACAAATGAGTCAACATGCTCAACCATAAAAAGTCACTCATTCAACGAGATGTTTATCCATCTTTTTTTGTTCTGCTTCCATTGAACACTTTTACAGCTTAAACAAAATTCATAAAAACGTTAGGCAGAGTACAGGAAAAGAAATCACATCCCACCTTATTCTTGGGGATTCAATGAATTCAGATTTTTTTTCTTGAGTTAATGAAGGGGATTCTTGACTCACTTGACTGACTGGTAACATGCCCATCCAGATGCGAATATAAGAACAACAGAGCTCAGTGAATAGTTTCTTTTCGGCGGTGAATTCATTCAGTCTTATTTTGGACGCCCGACGAACGAAGAAGACAGGTGAGACACTAAAGAGATCAATATATCGAAGGCCTACATGGGACGGCCAGCTTACAAACTTTTATAGCTGGATACCCATCAAGTGCAAGCGGAACATGACAATATCTATTATAACTACAATCCGTAGAATCTGCAGTCCCGAATTAGTAGAAAAAGAGATCACTCTTTCGAGGAAGTCACTACTTGAGAATGGCTATCCACCGCACTTGATAGATAAACATATAAGGCCGAAAACCAACGAAGAAAAACCCATCTCTGTGCCGAAAAAGATGCTATACATGAATGTGGTGTTCAAAGGCGACCTTCTGGCCGAAATCCTACAGAGGACACCTAAAGTCCTGAAAAGAACATTCTCTACTGTTACATTACGATTGGTATTCTCTTACCGCTGAGTGTTCTTCAACAACTCCAAAGATAAACTATCGCATTTGATCACTTCAGTGTGTATCAACCAATTTATTTGCTCATGTGCAGCAAGATATATAGGTCGTTCGATGCGTATTTCATTTAAAAGAGTCAAAGAACATTATTCCCCTTGGATACGAAAAGATAACCGTGTGTCAATAAAAAAATGCTATAATTGACATAAGTGCTATTAAACACTCAATATGTAGGGAGAATTGATTCAAAGTTAACTTCCGCATACTTTGCGCTCTCAGAGATCCGGATAGAAAACCCAGATTTATGTACACAGAAGAAACTCCTCCACCTCCTCCGTCTACCTTGGATATAATTCCAAATTCTACTAGTTTGTTAATAATGCTTCCTATTTTTTGAATGTATGTTTCTACGACATCTTAGTAACATCTTTTTCTTAACCAGAACTTCATTTACTCTTTCTACCTATAACGTAATTTATTTTGGACAACTGTCCCCATGCTCTTTCACTAACATCTTATTTTTCTGGGTGTCTTATATTATGCAAACCTTATCAGTGTTAACCAATCTTCGCCCCTCCCCTGGTTATTATTATTGTTCCCTTCGGTTCCTAGTGTATACATAGGGCTTCAACTGCACATCTCCACTTGCTTCTGTCTTCTGCTGTACTTTTCACCTGCATCCATCCATGTTAGTCCACACTGTTTCAACTCCTCTTCACACGATCTCCTCTATGTCACCCTTGCACTGACGTCCCACTCGCCGCTTCCCTTTCGGGTTCCACTCAAGAGTCTGACGCGTGCATGATGTCACCCAGCGGCATCCTCAGCTACGAGTGCCCAATCCATCTCCCCTAGTTACAATGTGATTATCACATTTCTGAAACATTCTGATGACGTAAAGAATAAGCCCAATAAATTTTTATCTTTGTTTGACAATCCTAATGTACACACACGCCCAAAATAATTATATATAAATGCAATCGTACAGCTTAGTGAATGAATTCGATGCTGAAAAGAGATTCTTCGCTGAACTTTGTTGTTCTTATACTCCTGACTGGTAACCAGAGAACATCGTCTGAATAAGTACTAAACATTAAAAACAACCTGGTCAGTGATTTTTCTGTCCATGATTACAAACAATGCTAACAAACAACAAGCCTTAGAGCTGATCCATATAGTCCAGTGGTTTACTTATTCCATCTTCAGTTATTTTGTGCTACCTCAAAGATTATGACATTCTGGTTAAGCAAAATCTTAATAGACTCATTTCGGTGACAGAATGTCTTAGCATTCAGATGTACTTCACATCACACATACACACATTGGCTGAGCAATTCTCAGTAAAGCTAGAAAAAGTGAATTATATGTCAACACTACTATGAATGTCAAAGGTGCGTTGAATCAGTCGTTCCGTGGATCCCTAGTTTTCAATCGATTTCCATCCAGCATCAACTAATCATGAAAAATACCTTAATGTTTTAGGTAATAAGCACTTTGTATGTATGCGTCTATGTGTGTGTGTGTGTGTGTGTGTGTGTGTGCGGGTGAGTGAGTGCTTGAATGACTGATCTTTACGAAAGAGAAAAAGAAAATAGTGAAGAAGGACTTCAACTATGAGGTGGGCGATACAAGACACACAACAATAAACGGATACAGAGATGATAATAAAAATGGGCATATTTATGCACGTACATTGCACTCATTGCGCAAACAATACCATTGAACAGAATAAAAAACAACAGAAATACCATTACCCAAGATATAGATATGCACAAATATACATACATAAACGTAAAAATAAACAAAACGAAGATAACCAGAACAAACATATACGAAAAGAAAAGCCCGCTGTAAACTATCGACAAATAAAAACATGCAGAACAAATTTACAACTTGGAGGAAAAGACGGTGGCGTGGTGGCCGGGCGGGGGGGGGGGTAATTCATACACCGACTTCCTCCCTTCTCGGGTAGGTAAACTTACTCAGCTGCAGATGATGGTACTGTCTTGGGGAGAGTTCTAGTATGGTTGTTTGTTTTAGTTTTTTTTAAGTTTTATCATCAAACAACAACAACAACAACAGAAAAAAGAAATCAAATGAGAAATAAAGGTAGCTATTAAACATCAGTAAGTACAAATGTTAAGGAGAACTTAGACAATAAAAGCGTATACCATACTTTTTGATAATACCTCTACAAAGCATACTTCATACAACTGAAGAGAAATAGAAAAAATCTTGAAAAACACTCGAAACATCTAAGTAGTAGTATAATACTTATAATAGCTAGAAGATCTGTCAGCTTCCAATTAAGGCATCTTTTGCAAATTATTCGATTAGCCGACTCTCGAAAATTGAAAGACACTTGGATTAGATAACATACACACGAAAAATATTTACAAGACCTCATATAAATTACGCACATCTGTCAGTATGTATGAAATACTACTATTGTAACGAAAGAAGACAAGCACCAGGCAACAGATCGTTTATTGAGAAAATCAAGAGATATTTAGAGATTTGTACGCACATTATTGTCAGAGGAGAAGCAACGTCTTCTGATTGGCTGTTTTCGGCTTGTGACCGTTTCTCAGAAATTTAAGCCATATATCTGCGAATCCTGTCTGCATATGTTAAGTCTGTCGTGATATATATATATATATATATATATATATATATATATATATATATATATATATGTATTGCAGGGTATAGGTAACCAAAATTGTTAACAGCAACTTTCTGGCCCTAGCAGTATCAATGAAGTCAAATTTTACAAAAAGTGTAAAGTAATAATATGAATAATACTAATGTTAATAACTAAAATTATAAGATAATCGAAATAGTGTCTCCATAAGTTACAAACAAGATAAAAGCCACTTATATTACTAATTACGTAGTAAGTTGTAAGTTTCACCCATAACATACTATCTCTATCAAGTCGTAGAAAGTAGTCCAAATAGGATATCGTTTGGTTTCTCTACTGGATTGTGTGAGCAGATCATCTCTTACAAGGATTTCTTGTCCTGCCTAATCAGATACAAAAGGAGAGTTGTGAACAGAAAGGGTGTTGAGAGTTGAATAATATGAAGAATGCAGACAAAGACTGATCGTCGACATTGCGTAATGGTTCAAACCATGTCAGTGATTGAGCTTATAAGGAAACTGAAATCCCCGGTTTCAAAGTATGGTTGGTGTCTTACTCTCGCCGTCTTATGGCTTATTCTGTTCGACTGCTGTTCCAGCTGGATTAGAACATGAAAACAATTGGTTTTTTAGAATGTTCTGGTCAGCCAAAATTGTAGACAACAATTTACGTTAATGTTCACATCCCGAATCAGGGTCATGAGAAAAAAATACCGAAGCTTAACCTTGAGGAACTCACCAACCAATCACAGCAGACTTAACGTATGCAGACAGGATTCGCAGATATGTGGCTTAACTTTCTGAGAAACGGTCACAAGCAGAAAACAACCAATCAGAAGACGTTGCTTCCCCGCTGACAATAATGCATGTAAAAATCTATAAATATATCTTCATTGTCCCACTAAACGATCTGTCGCCCGGCCCTTGACTTCTATCGTTACACTACTACTTGCCAAGGGGAGATGAGAGACTTACAGTTGATCTTCTGCGTGTGTGTGTGTATATATGGCCATAGTGATTATCTAGTGACCTACCACCTGCCTGTTAACCTAATTAACTAATATCAGTAAATGCTGAAAACCATCTTGTCAGATGAAGCCTTTTCCAACTTTACAAATGAATAACCTAAGATAACGAGTTAATGAGTTTAAGACTACCCACACACACATACAAACACGGGTGTTTCTTTTTTCAATCTAATATTTAACACTAAACTAATATGATCATAACATGAGATCAAAGGTCTAGTTAGTTATCTGCATACACCTCCTATACGTGTATCTAATACATATTGGAGAATGAATGCAGAGAAGGTGAAACTTAGGTACCCTACATTATATAAGCGCTGACATACATAAAAACCAGTTGAACAATGACTTCCGTTATATATATAGCATCCCAAACTGTTAAGCTGGATAATGTTTAAAAGTTGTCTGACAATTCGTACAAAAAATTTATATATATATATATATATGCGTTACATATGAAAAACAAATAAAATCTTACTCTTTTTATTTCTCTACATGACCTATTTATCAGTATATATATATATATATATATATATATTAATTTGAATTTGATTATTTTCGAGGTGAATAATAATAATAACAATTATTACTATTATTTGTTAACTTTCTATAGTTTTGGTTCGTAAGGATTAGTTATGTTTTACGAGTTGATCACGGATTGATATCAGTTAGAGAACCATTGAAAACCAGCCATGGAGTACTGGACAGCAGCTGTTTCATCCTAGTTTGGGAATCATCGGCAGTACGCACCCACCGGGATTCGAACCCAGGACCTTCCGGTTACAAGGCAAGCTCGTATACCATTCAGTCACTGGGACCCGATCCAATGGCCGGCGCATGAATTCTAACTTCTGCCAATTCACGACATAGCGCGACCGCTAGCCAATGTCTTCGGCGAGTATTTGTCCTCAGGTAGGTAGTTACCTGGGTTCCAGTGGGAAGTCGTGACCAGTAGGGTGCAGCTGGTTGGGTGTGAGGACAAATACTCGCCGAAGTCATTGGCTAGCGGTCGCTCTATGTCGTGAATTGGCAGAAGTTAGAATTCATGCGCCGGCCATTGGATCGGGTCCCAGTGGCTTAATGGTATACGAGCTATCCTTGTAACCGGAAGGTCCTGGGTTCGAATCCCGGTGGGTGCGTACTGATGAAGAGTCCCAAACTAGGACGAAACAGCTGTCTAGTACTCCCTGGCAGGTTTTCCAATGGTTCTCTAACTAATGTCAGCTCATGATGAAATCCTGAAACCAATCAAATCCCTACAAACCAACACTTGAACACTTAACTGACTATTATTAGACACAATTATGGCGGAAAAAAAAAACTAACAGGGTAATCAACAGGCATTTAAGCGTATACACAATGCAAGAGACTATATATATATATATATATATATATATATATATATATATATATATATATATATATATCATCACTATATGACGAATAGAGAATATCTAAAGTAATGGCGTTGTGTTGACGCTGTTTAGTGATTACGCATATGTATGTATGTATTCACATAACTGTGAAGGTGTGCTAACTGTCAAACAGGATTAAAATGTAATCACGAGACAAAATACTTTTTTCTCTACATCAGAACAAATAAAAAAACGATGATGATTCCACTACAAATTGGTTGACTAACTAGCTAACTAACTAATTCCATTCAAAAACATCTACGAAAACAATAATGCCTGTCACAAGATCCACACTTCTTTTTAAATAAAGAATTTAATCAAGTATGATGGTTAAGATGTATACGGTGGGCTGCAAACACTGGAAACCAATAGCGCATTCTACGTTCAGAGTACTGTGTTGCTTGAAGTGATTTTCGCCTAAAGATGACTCTATGAACCACTACTGGCTAGAGTTTTGTAGAGCATGACATTGTTAAAAATCAGCTACACAGAACAGATTCTTCAAGTAACAGGGTATGAGCCACACAAATTGTTTTGGCAGTTCATTTCTATTATTCCCCGGCTGATAACTGCTACCTTGTTGTCGTGGTGGTCGGACTTGAATACCGTAATGAACCAACATGCTAAACTGACTGGGACTCTGTCCCTGCAGGTCCTACCATGTCAGGAAGGTTGTTTGGATAGTGATTAAACTAAAAGCAGTTACCATGGGGTACATGGGCTCCAGTATCCAATCGGATCAAATGGCGTATGAACCCATATGGGTCACCGGTAAACATGGGAATGCAGCTACTGATGCTGCTCCGCTGTCTTGCGGATTAGACTCCAAGTCAAAGGCTCGGGGAGTGGTCCCTTAATAAAAACCACCTGCTTCGGTCTGGGCGCCCGGGCAGCACCTCAGCCCTCACACAATGAATTGAATAAAGCAACAAACAATCAATGAAACTTATCGTGTTGCAATTTCCTTCTTTCTTCCCTTCCCGATGACAGTTAACGAGTACTGTTTGAACTTGTTAAGTATGACTGCTTTCCTTCTAGATGAAGTTCTTTATCCGTTCTCTACTTATATATATTTCTCTTCTTTCTTTCTTTTTTTGATCTATGTTGTTTTATCATTATTGTGTGGCACATCCTTCTTGGTGCCATAATGTACCAAGTTTTTATGCGTTTAAATAAATAAATGATATTATTCAGCTATGCGTAGGTTTAAATTGTTGAAGTGAGATTCAAGTCCAGTAGCCCACTTAGACCAATGAACTGCAGCTTTAGCATGACATCGAAACAGCATAAATATAACAATAACAAATTTAATGCTATTATGACGTACGTGCGTCGGGGGCACAGCGGTTAAGACACTCGCCGATCATGCACATGGTCCGGGGTTCAGTCCCCGGCAACAGACTCACTCCTTTACCTCGCTAAGCCAGAAATAATGCTGGTAAAGAGGAATGGTTGGGCATGAGGCTAGCAACTCCATCCTGTAAAATTAAACACTGCTACAGAAACTTCAAGCCACTAGCTTGAGGCCCTATGTTCCACTGGGAACGTCAAGGAAAAAAATGACGTACAAATCATTTACATGACCTTCAGTTGACAAAAAAGTAACACCAAATCAGCGATTGAATCCCACAAATCCATCGGCAAGCTGCCGTCAGCTAAATATCGTTTTTTTTCCAAATCTTGCCACAAGCCAACCTTTCGTCCTAGTTTAAATCATCACTATTGCGCCTTTATGGCAAGACCTGTCCAACAAACCACAATTGTGAAGTGAATTGGTGGATGGTGACTAGCAGTGGAATTCCCGATGCGCATTTCATCCTATATGGGACTCGTCACCTGAATGTGACTTGCACAAGGAGCCAACATGTTAACACCTGAGGCTTAGCACTTCGATGCAATCAATCAACTGGAAATTCCAAGTTAAATTAATTAATAACTGATACCCGGTGTACATGAGGTGGCTTTTAAGGTTTAAGTGGTCTAGTGGATAACGCTTTAGCGTTTGAAGCAATCAGTACTGAGTTTGAGCCTCGGTGGGAACACAGCCACTCACTAGGGAATGGAGGCACATCCAGATGACGGGTTCCAAATAGAACGAAATATACATCCTGGATTCCACTGCTAGTCACCATGCACCAATTTACTTCAAGTTGAATAATCAGACATCATCGAAGCAATAAGCACAAAGAGTAGACATGTCAACCTGAAGCAATCAAACAATGGGAAAGTTCAAATTGAATTATTTTCTTAATTAATTTTTGATTACAGCTTGATTCCACACTGTATTTTTTGGTACAAGTATGGAATTTTCAGCATGTGATATCGGTAGCCCAAATTTTGCAGGCCGACCATAGATATCAGGTGTGTGTCGGCAGAGGATCGAACCCCGGACCATTTGCAAGGTCGGTGAGAGTCCTAACCACTGTGCCACCGACGCACAGATTGTCGAGCCAATAACAACAAAGTTGATAAATAAATCATGATAAATCATAAAATAACCTACCCAAAATTAATATTTGAGGCATTCTCGTGATGACCAGGTGCACAGATATGATAAACTGTGAAGTGTTCAGTGATGACACGCATCTCAGGATTGTTGAATAAACTAAGAAATGATGTATCTATATATTAAAGTGTAAAAACAAAATGAACACAAAATTTATAAACAAAACATGAATGAAGTGAAAATTTATGTTACTAACTTCCATTTTTAAACTTACATTAAGTTTATGTAAATCCCAGTTGGTAAGGAAAAATAACTTTTACAGACCGAGATAGTCGCCTCTAACCGCAGGTGTTTGTATCCTGTCTCCCGTGTTGAGTGGTAGTATTGAGATTAGGTGTAGAGGGTAGGGTAAGGAGGGAAAGTTAATCGATTGGGTTGTTAAGTTGTACCGAGTGAAATGGCTAGGACAGGTGTTACGCATGGCAAGCCACAATCCTTGTCGTCGAGTAAGGTTAGCCGACATAGGATTCGCTTGGAAAGGAGTTAACAGTGGTTAAGCCAAACCATAGACATCAATATATCAAGTCTTTAACTGTTGGTTTGAGTCAAGTGGGATGGTGCAGATTGGCTGACTGGGGTCCTCGAGACACTCAGGTCTGCTCTATGAAGTACGGTAAGCTGAACTGGCAATACTATTAATGTCTGGTCACCTCGAAACGGGTTGGTGTAAGTCACTGATTATCCCCATATACAAGAAGGGAGACAAGTCTTCCTGTGATAATCACAGAGGGATTAGCTTGACTAATATAGTATCTAAAGTCTTAGGCTCAATAATCATGCGTAGACTGAGTGGTGCTCGGGAAGCACAAACACGAGAGAGCCAGGCAGGCTTTAGACCAGGAAGAGGGTGTATTGATCATATCTTCACCCTCCGACAGATTCTAGAACATAGGAATTCCTACCGGCGTCCAACAGTCATTATATTTCTTGACCTAAAGGCAGCATTCGACTCTGTCGATCGGGAAGTTCTCTGGAGATGCTTGGCTGTAAAGGGAATTCCAAGAAAATATATTGCACTGATTAAGGCACTCTACTCGTACTCATACAGCCAGGTGAGGGCTTACGGCGAGCTGTCATCTGAACTGATGACGACCAGTGGTGTCCGTCAAGGATGCCCATTATCTCCTTTTCTATTCAACTTCATCATAGATGTGTTAATGGACTTAACCCTAAGTGACTTCAGCGATTCAGGGATTGACTTGCTACCGGGGAATAATCTCGTTGACTTGGAATATGCAGACGATATAGTCCTTCTAGGCGAAGACGCTGACGAAATGCAGAGTCTTCTAAACACCTTGAACAGCAATCTACGAATGTTTGGCATGCGATTCGCTCCCGCCAAATGCAAGATGATGTTACAGGACTGGACTACATCGACGCCTAGTTTAAAAATAGGAAGTGAAGTGGTAGAGCACGTTGACCGCTTCACTTATTTGGGAAGTACCATCAGCCCCAACGGGTTGATCTCTGACGAAATCTCAGCACGAATACAAGGGGCTCGTTTCGCATTTGTTAGTTTACGCCGACTCTGGCGTAGACGAGATGTTCGACTATCGACCAAAGGGCGGGTGTACTGCTCATCAGTCCGCTCCGTCCTCCTTTATGGTTGTGAGACCTGGCCACTGAGAGTGGAAGACATGAAAAGACTAGCTGCCTTTGATCATAGGTGCCTGCGTTCTATTTCCCGTGTAAAGTGGCATAATAAGGTGAGCAACATGGAGGTTAGGCGCAGAGTTCTAGGTAAACAGGGGAAATCAATCGACGAAGTCGTGAAGCTACAAAGACTGAGATGGTTAGGACATGTGTTACGTATGCCAAGCCATCGCCTCCCTCGACGAGCTATGTTAGCGGATATAGGGTCAGGCTGGAAAAAAGCTAGCGGCGGTCAAACAAAAACTTGGCATCAGTCAATGAAATCCACAACAGTTGGTCTAAGCCACGTAGGAAGGTGTAGACTTCCAGGCTGGGGTCCTCGGGACGGTAAAAATCTATGGTTGGAAACAATTGGTGACATGGCTCAAAATCGTTCTCAGTGGCGCAGATGCATCCACTCCTTGTGACTTATGATCTTCAATGAAACTGTTTTGTATTTCTTTATTACTCCTTTGTCTCACACCTCTGCTCACTGTTTCTATTATGCTTTTCTTGTACTTTCTTCTCTTGCTTCGCGTGCTACACGGAATGTGGCGACTTGAACTTCCGCACATTTGTGCAAAGTTCTATGTCGAAAACAGACAGACAGACAGACCTCGAAACGGTACTTTTGAAGCTGCTGGATTCCAGTTTTCAGTGCAGACTCTGTGGACAATAGTAGAGATCCTCATTATTCATCACATGATGATCTGAATATGCCTCTATAGCTGATCCTAGTCGATAATTTTCAGTACTCATGTGTTATATCATGTAAATAATTCACGCATTATAACTGATATAAACAAATATCACAAAAGTCATTATCACCATGATCACGTGAGTAAAGTAAATTTAATGAATAACACTCATTCAAATTACACACCTATCAACAAAAGTATAAAACTCAAAATCCAGAACGTGCTGTCAATGAAATGCTAACATTTTATACGAAAAATAAAATTCCAAAATGTACCCTAACGCATAGCACTGATGAATGTGTTCCATTAACCTACCTAAGTGACAGCAATCAACATGTGATCCATAAATTACAAACATAAAACTATCTATGCAAAGGTGATCTTGTCAGCAACATTCAAAAATATGCATTACGCTCAGATACTAGTTTCACTGGCAGCTTGAAATATTTTTTTGATGTTTCGCGTTTCAAATGGAAAACAGACCTTCAGGCTTTCCAAAGTTTCAGTGAAGAAGATGTATTTTTTTCATAGGTTAGGTTAAGGTTGATCGTGTCGAACCCAACTTTCCTACTTTTAAAATTAGTTGTGTTCTCTGAACTGGTTGATTTAATTGCGAAGCCTTCGTCGTCCATCTTCTAGAGAACATCTTCAGAGTAGGTTTTAGTACAAAATGAACTTATTCTCCACGATTGATGACATAATTGTATCTCGCAGCAACCATTGTAGTGACTAGTTGCTTGTTAATTTATATCTCTATTGAACAGTTTTATATTGACTTGGAATTTGAATTTTCGTGTCATGTGATTGATCAAAACTGCTAGGGAATTTCTAGAAGCCTGGTAGTCAAGTGAATTAGCAATTAACAAACACGGTACTTGAGACCAAATTTACCAGCTAATAAAAAGTAAATCACATGATAAGAAAATTCGAATTCCAAGTCAATATAATAAAAATGATCAATAGAGACGTAAATTAACAAGTAACAAGTCACGACAATGGTTGCCAGGAGATAAAATTATATCATCACTTATGGAGAATTCGAATAACTTTGAATACTTTGAGAAAGCTATTAGCATTAAATAGCGAAACGTCAGTAAAAACAATCTCGTTTTGTTTTTTCATTCATTGGGAAATACAAAAAAACCTCTATTATAATGAATAACTTTATTTTATACTAAAATCTGCACTGAAGATGTCTAGAAGGTGGACGACGAAAGCTTTTGCAATTAAATCAGCCAGCTTAGAGAACACACCTGATTCAATATCGTCCACCTGAGCTACAAATCTCCTCTATTATTTCCCACTTTTCCAAGCTTGTAATTTGTCAGCAAAACTAGGCGAAGTACGTTGTTCAGAAATACAGTACGGAACTTCCGAGAGGTTGGTGGTCATTGAAGCTCTTAACCACCAACACACACACAGACACATATGGACAGATTGAAATAAACAGTTACTTAGAAGTCCTTGTAGCCAATGAGAACAAAGAGGAATGTAACCGATGACATGAAGACAACAATGAAAATGGAAATCATTCCACTATTCATTGGCATAAACTAGTAGTATAACTGCAAAGGAAACAACTGTTCAATCGACGAGGTTGCTTATTATCACCCACGATGATATTCCTAATTGTGGTGGACTGGATTATGCATCAGACAGTGGGAAACGAGAAGACAGGGATATCCTGGACGGACCGACATGAAGAACCTAGAAGACCTGGATTTCGCGCGTGGATGATTTATGTTTGATGTCACACAAAATCGAAGACTTACAAGCAAGCGAAAACCGACAAACTGGTCGAAGACGCAGCCGGCGAAGACAGGACTCCAGTTGAACATAGACAAGACGGAGGTTATGAAAATAACCAACCAACCAACAACAACAACAGCAGCAGCAACATCCAGCGCCAATCACCATCAACGGGAGGGATTTGAAAGAGATTACTTCATTCACTTATTTAGGGAGCATTGTCTCAACTACAGGAAGTCGGAACGGACGAGGATGTCAAATCGAGCGAGAATCGGGAAGGCGAGAAATACATTCATCAACCTGAAACCAATCTGGAAATCTTCGTCACTCAGCTCCAACAACAAAATTCGGTAGGATTTTCAATACAAACGTCAATTCAGTTCTTCTTTCTATACGGATCAGAAACTTGGCGGACGGATCACAAAGAATATTTCCAACAGCCTGTTGCAGACCTTTATCAACCAACAACTGTCTTCGCTGGCTCTATACTGAAGATCAAATGGCCGGAAAGAATCATTAACAAGGAATTATGGGAACAAACAAAGCAAGAACCAATCGCCGCCCAACAAATATGCAGAAAGTGGAGATGGATCGGACACTCGCTGAGGAGACCACTGGGTGACATCGCGCGCGCGTCAGGCCATCGCTCGAGTGGAACCAGGCCGAAAGAGAAGCGGAGAGTAGGACGTCAGTGTAAGGGTGACATAGAGGAGATCGTGTGAAGAGGAGTTGAAACAGTATGGACTAACATGGATGGATGCAGGTGAAAAGTACAGCAGAAGACAGAAGCAAGTGGAGACGTGCAGTTGAAGCCCTATGTTCCACTAGGAACCCAAGGAAACAATGATAATATTATAATAATAAGACTTTTAATGAAATATAGAATTTAGGAAGAATAAAATGCTGGAATAAAGAGCATACAACACATGGTGTATGTATAATTTTTACCACTTGACCAAGAATATACAATAATAATATATGTGATTGAAGGTGATAAAGTCAATAAAATAAAATGCAGTAATGTAATAATCTATCG